GGAAAAGATAGAATTCCAAGAAAAGTTGAAAATGTATAATAAAATAAATAATATAAAAAAAGTAAAAATAATAAAATAATAAATATTAATAGTAATAAATATAAGAGGGGGATTTTTAAAAATTGTTTTTAAAATAAAAGATAAGAATTAAATAAAAGAAAATAATTAAATAAACAAATTAAATAGATTGATATAAACAAAAACTTATTGTGAAAGCAGCCTCAGACTTCAGCTTTGTCTCAAATTCCTCGGATCAACGAATCAAATTTTTACTTCAGGATTCACGTCGGCTTACAAAGACAATTCTTTGCTACCAACTCAGATTGTGTCGTTTCAACAATAACTGATTTTGATCTTAGTTCCTCTAAGCAAACAACTTTGCTAAATGTGTTCTCAGGAAGTCGAATATGCTTCAATAAGCAAATCCTTCTTCAAACGTTAACCATAACAATATCCGGACCAATGTCGAAATCGTTTTGATATGAAAAGTAAGCTCAGAAAACAGAGAGAGAAATCCGAAGCGATTTAAGTACCATACAATTCTCACATTTGGAATTGAGCCTTCGCTTCAGTCTTCGGCTTGAAAGAAAATTAGCTAAGCATGACCAAAGTTATACTTAGCATAATTGAAAAGTATGCGAAAAATAGAGAGAAAACTAGAGTGAAAAAGAAGATTTTATTCTCAGATGAGAGAGATATGTTTCTAGGCTTACCCTTAGAGGGCATTTATAGCCTTCAAATTCCTAAAAACAAACTAAAACATCTTAAATCCTAATTAAAACACTTAAAACAATTTAAACTAAAATACCTAAAAATAATATTCTAAATCCTAATTAAAATACTAAAATCTATTTAAACTAAAATACACATATGAAATAATGTTTAAAATATTATCCTAAACTTGAGTTTAATTCAAATCCGAATTCCAGCCAGCTTTGATTCCGAAAATAAAAACTGCATAATTATGTCCTTTTGTGCAATTTCCAGAATCTGATGTCCTGCATAGAAAATGAATCAAAACGAACAATTAAGCCACAAAAACCAATAATTAAGGAGTAATTTAAAAGCAAAATATTAACTAAATTAATCACTTATCACAAAGCCTGAATTGCCTAAAGTTCTTGAGTTTCCAACAGTGCCAGAGTTGTCAAAGCCCGAAGTTCCTAAAGTTCCCGAGTTACCAAAGCTTGAATTGCCTAAGGTTCCTGAGTTTCTAGTAGTGTCAAGAGTTACAAAAACCTAAACTTCTGAAGGTTCCTGGGTTGACTAAGATGCAGAAATCTGAAGAAGTCGAAGTTCCTGAGTTACCGAAGTCAGAATTGCCCAAAGCTCATGTGTTACCAAAAGTTCTTGAATTACCAAAATCAAAATTCCCTAAAGTTTCTGATGCGACCAAAGCTCCTGAATTACCAAATGTTCCCAAGTTACCATAACCAGAATTACCAAAAGTTCCTGAATTACCAAAACCAGAGTTACCAAAAATTTCTGAGTTACCAAAGCCAAAATTACCTAAATTCCTGAGATACCAAAACTAGAATTACCCAAAACTCCTGAATTACCAAACATGAAATACCCGAAGTTCCAAAACTATCCAAACCATAATTACCCAAATTATTAATTACTCAACCCTCAAAGTCATGAGAATATCTTAGTTTCTTAAACATTAAGCATATGGTTTCTAGATATTCTTCTTATAGGAGAATGTTTGATTATTATATTTTAGTTCATTTCATGAGTGATGTGTTATCGTCTATGTATTCTAATGTATAGTTTCTAAATAAATTATAGTTTTATACAAAGTTTGATTTCTCTATCTAGTACGTTCGATTCTGTCCAACTAAAGAGCATTTTAGTATGATGCGGATATCGGCAATTCATGTAATATATATATATATATATTATATATATATATATATATATAGGTATTATTCTCGTTTTAGTCCTTCTACTATTCTAAAATTTATGATTTAACCCTTATATTTTAATTTTACAAGATTGATTTTCTACTTTTTATAATTTATTAGTAAGTGCAAGTGATAACCCTATTAATTGTTTAAGTTCAATTAATGATGTGAATTTTACTGCTATAACTTTCTTACAATATAAGTAGCTTGAACAATTTTCTAAAAAAAAAAATTCCAAATCAACACTTTAATAACAATAATTAAAAGTGTTATTAATTTGGATTTAAAAATAACATTATAAATATGAGGATCAAATTATATTAAGTTCAAGTAAAAAAAATTAAATCTCAAAAGTAAGACTAAATATCTAAAAATAACTGTAACCACTAACTTGGGTCTACTGACGATAAATTTATAGTGTGATTTTTTTATTAACTTTGGATAAGGTAATATATGTTTAAAGATAACTCTCAACTACTTGACATTGAAAGCTTATACCTTAGAATTCATGATGGTCAAAATCGAAACCTCAATGAATAACAACAATTCTTTTACCACCGAGGTCGTTTGGTTTATGCTAATTGTATGGATTTAGATATTTATTTATAATTGATTATTTTTCATGCAGATACTACTATCACTCGGATTCAAATACCTTAATTTTTTTTACTCTGATCCTACTAAAATATTTTCTTTTAATGTTTCAATTGGTTGTTCTAAATTTCCTTCTAAATATTCGGATACAATTTCTATAATACTGACATCTTTATATATATTTTTAATTAATTACTAATTTTATCAAATTAAAAAGATTTATATTTGAATCGTATTGGATATGGAATTTTACCTTAAATATTGAATTGAATACTTTTTTTAAACTCTAATCAAATGAAAAATATAATACTCAAATCATATTCAAATCAATTAAAAAAACTTTTAAAAGTGTTGTTTAAAAGTATTGTTTAAAATTTAACTATTTGGATTATTGTTAAAAGTGGATTTAAAAAGATAAAATGTCAATTGTAAATATTACATTGTAAATTAAAAATATAAAATTTAAATTAGATTTACCTTATTAATACTATGATATAAAATATATCAATTTAAACTATAATAAAAATATTATTAAAAATATTTTAAGCTAACTCAATAATAATATTTTTATAAATGAAATATTTGTTGAGAAATTATCAATACCTTTTAACATGTGGATATAAAATTATTACGAAATAATAATTTAAATACTTGTTTTTGTCAAAAAAGAATATTACAAAAAATATATTAGTGCTTGCAAATTAAAGTGGATTTATTAAACTAGAAGATATGATATTTCTCATTCATTTCATTTCATAATGAAATAGAGTGTTTAATTTTTTTCAATTCAACCACAATCACTCATTTAAAATTTAAAATAACATATAATTTATTGTGACCTAAACCCCAGCTACTTTCTTCTTATTCTTCCCTTTTCCCTTTTTTTCTTTACGAGTTGTGTCAATTTTGTTGATCAATCTAATTTTTTTCTTCTTTAATTTTGTTTAACCGACGACGACACTGATTTTGATGTTGCTTACTGTCCGTCGGTTATCTTTTTTCTTTGTTTTTTTTGTTTTTTAATAACAATAACTGTCTTTGTGACATGTTCTCTGCCTTTGTTACATGTTTATCTCTGTCTTTGTGGCACATTTTTCTTTACCTTTTGATAGATTACGGTTTTTTGCCGTTATTTTCATTTTTTTTTCAAGGTTGGATTGACTTCGACATGATTGACCAAGATGCTTATTTATCATGATGATCTTCCCGGCTTTGGACACTTTGATTGATTTGGATACATGTTTTGCTTCCATGAATAGTTTTTTCATGTCGCTTGACTCTGATTTGCAATTTTTCAATGGCCTTCAGTAGCTTTATCCCCTTTTGTGGTTCATTTGCTAATGCAGTCAGATTTGTTCGTATTTTTATTTTTTTTGAGATTTTTGGTTAGGTTTTTTAACCTTTTCCTTATTTGGTCCTTGTGTGATCTAGGTGGCTAGTTTTTGTGTCAATGGTTATAGGAAAATATCATAATTATATTTTTCTGTTTACGTTTATATTATACTTGAAAATCTTCATTGTAATTCTGGATATTTCTGTTTTTAATAAAACTAGTGACTTATATCATTTTTTTAAAATAATATAATTTAAATGATATATTTATCCTTTTAACCATTCAATATATAGATTGTAAATAAATTAAAAAGAAATTATTATTATATATGAAATATATCAATTAAAATTATAATAAAAATAAATAAGAATATATTTTACAATAATTCATTATTATATTTTAATATATAAACCATGAATTTTATTTATTTTTAAGTAATTAAAATAAATTATTAAGTAATAAATTATATTTTTTAAGAACGTAAGTATTAAATTATTAAATAAAATGTAAATGAATAATTCAGTGGAACTCATGTATTAGTAAGGGTAAATTTATAATTTATTTTCAAACGCAATGTTAAAAATGAAAAAGCTAGAAATCCTAGCTTTTGCGGTTAGTTTGAAACCACTATTTCTACTATAATTGTTTTTCCATTTTGTTACTTGTTTGGCATTAATTTTAGTTAAAAGAAGAAACGGAGCCATATTCGAAAAACTACAAATATATAAACTTTATTTACTTAAAATTCATTGGCTCGCCATTCTATAAACCGATTAGGGCAAGTAAGAATTTTTCTTCTGTCTCAAATCATCACTAAAAAAATAATGAATAAAAAGGAAATACCTAGCAGGTTGGAATATAGTTCAACAAAAGCATGTTGGAAGATAAATAGACAAACCAAAAATACCAAATAAGGCTTCTGGTTGGCAATGTTGTACTTTATATTTGGTAATTTTGGGTCATCATATTAGGGTTTTGATGTAACATTTAAATAAGGAATACGTGGCAAGTTGAGCTAAAAAATGCAGATTTTCAGACCAGACACTTGGAAATCTAATTGTTTTCCACTTCCCAATACCTATAAAGGCTAATTAGCTCATGCAATTGCGTAAACAACCAATTCTCTAAAGCATTTCTTATTCTCATCTCGCTTCTGTTTTCCCTCAACCATGGTTTCCCATCGTTTCCCTTTCTTTGCACTACTCCTCACTTTGTCATTGATGAGCAGCGACACCATCTCGGTTAGTGCCAGACATCTGAAGTGTCCGAGCCTAAAGAATCTAAGCTTCCTAAATCGGAGTTGCCGCAGACACTGTCCTTCCCAAAGGTTGAACTTCCAAAACCAGAGTTACCAGAAATTCTAAAGTCTGAAATACCTAAGTTACCTAATCCTGAATTACCAAAAATTCCAGAGTTGCCAAAGCTTATATTATCTAAGGTTCCTAAGTTTCCAACGTTATCAAAGCCTGAATTGCCTAAGGTTATTGAATTTCCAATAGTGCCAGAGTTGCCAAAGCCTGAACTTCCTAATGTTTCTGATTTGAATAAGTTACAAAAATCTAAAGAAGTCGAAGTTCCATAGACATCGAATGTAAAATTGCCTAGCATTCTTGAAATGCCCAAAGCTCCTGAGTTACCAAAAGTTTTCGAGCTACCGAAACCATAATTGCCTAAAATTCCTGAGGTGACCAAAATTCCTGAATTACCAAATTTTCCCAAGTAGAGCCGTCTCGAACATGTTTGGGGTCCTGAGCGAAAACTTAAAAATAGGCCCTTATATAAGAAAAGTATATTCTATTACTTTAAACAATTAATTTAATATCATAGAAAAATGATTAAACTTTTTTTAACATTAGGTTCATTGTTTTGTTAAGAAAACACCTTGAATACAACAAAGAGAATAAAAATCGAATGTGAGCATGAATTATAATATGGACCTTGATTTTGAATAATAAATTAAAAAATATAGAATAAATACTATCGTTATATTCATATTGGAGAAGTCTAAGAGATAAAGAATATTTGGTAAATTGAAAAATAAGTTTTGTAAAAAAAGAGACAAATATAATTAGATTTAGTTCAAAATTAAGTGAACTAACAAAAGGGATATAGAAAAGGATGAGAAATGGAGAATTTTATGAAATTTTATTAAAAAAATTAGAGACATTGATTATAAAAGTAGACATTGAGGTCGAAAAAAACTAGGGGCCTCAAATATAAATGTATAATTGAGATTGAAAAACTTAGGGCCTCAATTATAAAGGTAGAAAGTGAGATTGAAAAAAATTAAGAGCTTAAATTATAAAATTTTAAAAAAAGTGAGATTAAAAAATTAGGGTCCTCAATTATAAAGGTAGAAATTGAGATTGAAAAAACTTAAGGGCCTCAATTGTAAAGTTAAAAAAGCGGGATTAAAAAATTATGGCCCTCAATTGTAAAGTTAAAAAGCGGGATTAAAAAATTATGGCCCTCAATTATAAAGTTAGAAAAGGTAGAAAGTGAGATTGAAAAAACTTAAGGGCCTCAATTATAAAGTTAAAAAAAAATGAGATTAAAAAATTAGGGGCCTCAATTAAAAAAGGGGATTGAAAAATTAGAGACTTCAATTATAAAGATAAAAAGTGAGATTGAAAAAAAAAAAGAATATCAAGATAAAAAATAAGATTTAAAAATTCGGAGTCTAATTATAAAGATGACAAAATGGGACCCCTAATTACAAAGATGAAAAACTAGGGCCCTAAGCAATCACTCGGGCACTCCTGGTAATAGTCGGCTCTATTCCCAAGTTACTAATGCCATAATTGCCTAAAGTTCCTGAGATATTGAAACCAATATTAACCAAAGTTCCTGAATTGCCTAAGGTTCCCGATTTCCAACACTGTCAGAGTTGTCAAAGCCTGAACTACCTAAAGTTACAGAATTGTCAAAGCTCGAATTGCCTAAGATTCCTGAGTTTCCAACAGTGCCATAGTTGTCAAAGCATGAACTTCCTAAGGTTCTTGAATTGACTAAGTTGGAAAAATCCGAAGAAACCGAAGTTCAAAAGTTACCGAAATCAGAATTGCCTAAAGTTCCTGAGATGCCCAAAGCTCCTGAGTTATCAAAAGTTCCTGAATTACCAAAGCTAGAATTGCCTAAAGTTCTCTAGGTGACCAAAGCTCCTAAATTACCAAATGTTCCTGAGGTGCCAAAATCATAATTTCCTAAAATTCCTGAATTTTCAAAAACAAAATTACAAAAGTTCCTGAGTTACTAAAGGAAAAAATACCGAAAATTCATGAGATATCAAAATTAGAATTACCTAAAACTCCTAAATTACCAAAAGTCGAATTAGCAAAATTTCAAAATTATCAAAACTTGAATTACCGGAAATTATATAACCATCCAAACCATAATTACCCAAAACAACTTTTTTTTCTTAAACATTAAACATATGGTTTATAGGTATTCTTTTTATAGAAGAATACTTGATTAGTATAATTCAATTTATTTCATGAGTCATGTGTTATTGTCTATATATTATAATGTTTACTTTTCTAAATAAATTTATAGTTATATACAAAGTGTAGATTTCTGTATTTAGTATGTTCGATTCTGTTCAACTTAAGAGCATTTTGGCAAATCATCTAAAAGAATCGACAGAAATTTAAAGATAAGAATTAAGAAAGACGAATAAATGGCATCTGTACGAACCATAAGTGCTAGGTATGTTTTGTGCACAGGGAAAGTAATTCTGAAGCACACCAGTTGGCTCAAAAAGGAGTTCGAGGCGGCAATCCGTTCTTATGGATGAAAGCTTGAGGATAGTTATTGGGCTTTATCTTTGTGCAAGTGTACAGTAGAGCTGCTGCTTGTCCTCCATTCTCTCGCTGAATATCACTACAGAACGGCTTAGGAGCGGATGGTTCGTTGAAATGTGTATGTATGGACTGCCGGTGGTTGCGAGGATTGCTTTTGATTGTTCTGTGTGCAGATAATAATGAAGATGGGATTTTCTGGTGGTGTTATAGTTATGGCTGACCTTTTGGAAAAACCTCTATCCCTCTAAGCTGTTTCTCTGGTGATGCGATCTCTGCTTGCTCATTGTGCAGTGCTCGTGTTTGGGTTTCATCTAAGTTTGAGGTTCGGTGTTCCCTTGGTGTTTTCATATTTTGATGTGCTTATCAACATGTTGCAATCGTACTTTGGATAAGTAGAGTCTGAACGTTTGATGTTCAGAATTGTATTGGTGTTCAATACTTAAGTACGTGTTTCCTGTTGATGCTTTTCCATGGAATAGTTATGTGCACTACGCGGATTGCATGAGTTGTAGAAAGTTCGCTTTGTGGTTTGCAGCAGACTGAGATTACTTAAAAATTGTGAGAATGAGCTATGGCAGTGCATTACCCCTTCATGTTTAAGCGGGCATTTGGTTGAAAGTTGTGGTCTACTTCCTGATGCAGTTGGCATTGTATGGTAAGTTCCCAAGGGCTGTTGGACTTTGTATTCGTTGTCTTAGTGTTGGACTTTGTTTTAGTCTTGGTTTCAGTTAAAACATCGATGATTCCAATATTGATATGACACTCTTTTTCTTCCGTTTAAGATTAGGGAGGTTTTTTTAACGAGGTTCATATCTATTGTCCTGACTTATACGCGTGCGGTTAATAAAATCATTCAAAATAATTTAAAAAAAGGTATAACTCTAGTTTTAGTCCCTCTACTATGCTAAAATTGTATATTTACCCCTCTTTGTTATAATTTGACAATATTTAATTTTGTACTTTTTATAATATTATTAGTAAGTCCAAATCGATAACCCAATTAATTATTGAAGTTGAATTAATGATGTGAATTTTATTACTATAACTTTCTTACAATATAGGTAGCTTGAATAATTTTCTATCAATGAAAATCCACATCATTGCTTTAATAACTATAAAGGACTAATAATTATTTTTTTATTAGTCTAGGATGATTACAAGTAATAGTATTTGTTCTAAGGATTTTATCTACCATTTGACAATGAATACTTAAATATCTTGCAATTGTTGATATTGAAACTCGAGATTTCTACGAATAATAATTATTTCTTTAATCATTGAGGTCACTTAGTTCGTGCATAAAAAACTACTAAACTTGAATTCGAATATTTATATCGGATGAAAGTATTCGATCATTATATTATAGGGATTGTACTACTATAATACCTTTACTATATAGAATGATCTAAATTAATCACCCATTATCAAATGGATTAATTTAATTTATGTATTATTAAAAAGAATTAAATAAAACTAAACTCTTTCATATTTAATAATTTTGAAAAACAACATCATTTTTTTTCATTCCCAATTCAATTTCAAACAAAAAAAAATTATTTACAGACTCATAAGTATGAACCAAATCAACTTAACGATTAAAGGATTGTTTTTATCTTTAGAGGTCTCGAATTTGAGCACGATTTTGTAGGGTGTATGAATATTCATTTTCAAATGATTGAAAATCTTTAAAGCTGATATTACTTTATATTCATTATCAAATGATTGAAAGATTTTTCCGAGTCTATTTTATCAAGATCACGATGACTCGCTATTTTTGAGTTCGGAGTAACTCAGTTATTAGAGTCTATGATTGATTCTTTTTCTATATCTGAATTCATGGATTTTCGTCGGTTTATCAAGATGAACAAAATCGTCACCGACATATTATTTAGGGACAGTAGTTTAATCTGAATTCAATGGATTTAAGGATAATAATTTTATGTACACATGATGAGTTTTAGTTCGACTTGAATTAGTTGGATGGATCTTTTGTTTTCGAAAATTCAAATTCGATTGAGTTTTTTTTAAGAGTATAGTTGGGTTGAATTTGAGTTTAGGGTGAAAATAATTAGACCCAACATAATATTATAATTATTTCTTATATATTCAGACATAATTTTGATGATATTTCTTTTTATTTTATTTTTTAATTATATCCATATTTTACTTAATAAAAATGAATATGTATATATATATTTAGGGGCATGATCCAATTATATTATGTAAAACTCTTTTAGTCTTACACATTTTTAGGATAGTTGGATGAGATAAACTAAAGGATGAGATTAACAGTAGAAAATGAGAAGATATTTACTGAAAAAAAATAAGGAATTAATCTTAGCCTAGATAGGGTTGGGTGCCAATTTTGACCTAAAAATCAGGTTGGGTTTCGGGTCAAGTTGGGTGAGTCAGCTTAATTTTTGGGTTAAGTTTGTCTAGGACAAAAATCCAACCAAACTCATATACATCCCTAGATGGGTTTCGACTTGACTTGATCTTATACATTTATTTTTTTTTAAATTCGGATTTGGGTAGGCTGGGTTTGTGAAGTATGAGGTCATATCGAGTATAAGATAAGAATATTCAACCTGACCCATCTAATCTCGGATAATGGTATTATTTTTCTCCATATATTTAGAAATAATTACTCTAATATCCTTCTTATATTTTTTTCAATTAAATACTTATTAAACCAAATAAAATAGTGTAAATTTTCACCTTAAACTTTAGGTCGAATAAAACTTATGTAATTCTAAACCGAATAAAAATATAATACTCAAATGGAATTCAAATCAACTAAAAATCTAACCCGATCTATTATTATCCTAATACTAGTTCATGTGTTCCCAATAATATGGCTTATATCCTTAACCTCTGAGTTAATCTTAGCGTTGTTTCTCAAACTCAAATGTGTTTTCAATATGACTTTGACTTTTAATTAAACATTCATATGATTTTGTAATTCTTACTTTTTTTGATGTATTAAAATATTACGCATTCCTTCTTTATAAAAAAATCAATAACATTTTCTTATTCTATAAAATACAAATATATAAACTTCATTTTCTTAAAATTCATTGGCTCGCCATCCTATAAACCGATGAGGGCAACTGAGAGTTTTTCTTCTAATCGTACAAGCAAAATCAAGTTGGAAGGTAGTTCAACAAACCAAAAATATCAAACAAGGCATCTGGTTGTATTTTATAATCGGTACTTTTAAGTAATTTATGTGTCATCATATTAGGGTTTGATGTTGCATTTACGTAAGGAATAGGTGAGAAGTTGAGCTAACAAAATGCAGATTTTCTCACCAAACACTTGGAAAATCTCATGGTTTTCCACTTCCCAATACCTATAAAAGGCTAATTATCTCATGCAATTGCATAAACAACCAATACTCAAGAGCATTTCTTATTCTCATCTCGCTTCTGTTTTCCCTCAGCCATGGCTTCCCGTCGTTTCCCTTTCTTTGCACTACTCCTCACTTTGTCATTGATGAGCAGTGATACCATCTCGGTTGGTGCCCGACGTCTCTTAAAAGAGTCCGTTCCTGAAAAACCCGAGCTTTCTAAACCGGAGTTGCCACAGATACCGTCCTTACCAAAAGTTGAACTCCCAAAACCTGAGTTATCGGAAATTTCAAAGCCTGAAATACCTAAGGTTCCTGAGTTGCCAAAGCCTGAATTGCCTAAGATTCCTGAGTTGCCAAAGCCCGAAGTTCCTAAGGTTCCCGAGTTTCCAACAATGCCAAAGTTGCCAAAACCTGAACTTCCGAAGGTTCCTGAGTTGACTAAGATGGAGAAATCTGAAGAAGTCGAAGTTCCTGGGTTATCGAAGTCAGAATTACCCAAAGCTCCTGAGTTACCTAAAGTTCCTGAATTACCGAAACCAGAATTGCCTAAAGTTCCTAATGCGACCAAAGCTCCTAAATTACCAAACGTTCCCGAGTTACCAAAACCAGAATTACCTAAAGTTCATGAATTACCGAAACCAGAGTTACCAAAAATTCCTGAGCTACCTAAGTCAGAATTACCTAAAATTCCTGAGATACCAAAACCAGAGTTAACCAAAACTCCCGAATTACCAAAAACTAAATTACCCGAAGTTCCAAAACTATCCAAACCTTAATTACCCAAATTATCAAATTACCCAAACCCCAAAGTCATGAGAATAGCTTTGTTTTCTTAAACATTAAACATATTGTTTCTAGGTATTCTTCTTATAGAAGAATGCTTTGATTAGTGTATTTTAGTTCATTTCATGAGTCATGTGTTGTCGTCTTTGTATTATAATGTATACTTTCTAAATAAATTTATAGTTATATAAAATGTTTGATTTATGTTCGATTCTGTCCAACTTGATAGTGCTGTGGATTTCATAAGATAACAAAGACGAGTAAATCTACCAATGAAGTTGGTCTGTCCCAACTAACACCACTTGTAACAAAAGCATTTACATTAAAAATTATAGGTATAATTCTTGTTTTGATCCCTCTGCTAGATTAAACTCCTTTTATTTTAATTTGACAAATGCTTTTTAACAAGGTATCGAGTTTTGGGTGTCATCGTTGTGATTTAACATTTTCCACGTGTAACCGACTCTAAAATATGAATTTAACTCTTGTTTTAGATATTCGATCATATCTAATCTAATATAATTGATGGCAAATCTGATTCAAAACACGAGCCCCATTTTTAATAATAAATAATTTTGAACCTAAAGAATATTTATGCAAAGATCATAGATAAGGGATGAAATGGGAATGTTGAAAAATTCAGAAATCAATTTAGAATAAGAGCTACACTTTTGAGACATGTGATACAATTAATTCTTTTTAATATGTGTTTCTTTCAAATTGAGCCGAACGAAGTAAAGTTCGAATAAAAAATTTGTTCGAGCTAAATTAAAAAGAAATAAGGAAATTAAAATCGTGTCAAACATATTTGAATTTAGAAAAAAAGTCAAAGTACATGAATGATCCCATGACTATAGAATATTATCTTATTAAGTCTCCCGATTATTAAAAGTTACAAAATGATCCTCTGACTATAGGGAGTTACTTTGTTGAGTCCATTGACTATCAAAAGTTACAAAATGGTCACCCAACTACTCATTATATTTCAAACTCATCCTTTTTTTGTTATAAATTTGACGGGAGACTAAGTTGTATGTAGCCTTGTGACTTAGATATGATAAAATATAATCTCATAATCTCAAACAACTATCATATCTCATTCCGCATGTTAACATCTAACTCACATGAATGTTAATTTTTTTAATAGAAAAAGACTAGCTTGGAACAAAATGAGTAGCTATGTGATCATTTTTTTAACTTTTGATAGTCGAGAAATTCAACAAAGTAACTCCCTACAAAAAAGAGATCATTATATAACATTTAATAATCAAAAGACTCAATAAAGCAATAAGACAATTTGTATACTTTACTCAAAAACAAAATAAGATACTTTAGATTTAATAATATTTTTAAAGGTTCGTATCTTTCATTTTAAAGATACAATATTATATGAAAACAACTTCAGTGACCGAAAATGCCTTATAATATACGATTTTAACCAACTTTTTTTGGATTTGCAAAAATAACCAATGAACTCGCAACGCGATTTCAAATTCGCAACACGAACTCCAATTTTGCAACACAGTTTCCAAATTCGAAACTCAGTTTTCAAATTCACAATTCGAATTTGGATTTCGCAACTCATTTACCGATATAGGTAAACACGGTAGAAAAAATCCGTAACTCGAATTCGCCAATTTCGCAACTCGAATTCGCCAATTTTGCAACTCAATTACCGATATAGGTAAAAAGAATTGGTGAATTCAAGTTGCGGATTTTTTCTACCGTGTTTACCTACATCGGTAATTGAGTTGCAAAATCCGAATTCGAATTACGAATTTGAAAACTGAGTTGCGAATTTGGGAAATTCGTGTTGCGAAATTGGAGTTCGTGTTGCGAATTTGAAATCGCATTGCGAATTTGTTCGTTATTTTTGCAAATCCAAAAAAAGTTGATTAAAATCATATGATATAAGACATTTTCGGTCACTGAAATTAAGCTTAAGTTTTGTCTTAAAATAAAAGTTAAACAACCTCAACTACTATAGATGGTTGTTTTATCTTAATAGGTATCGAATTCTAACACGTCACTTATAAAAATATTTTAAAATTTATTATTAAATAATTAAAATTTTTAAAATATATATTATTTTATAATCATAAATAATAATAATATAGGTTTAAAGTTATTTTTGACAATGACTATTATTGACTTTTAATACACGCACCATAAATATAGTGGGTCACAAAATATTTCCCACCGGTGGTTTCGTTGAGCTTTCCACCCCTACTTTTTTTTAACAATTAAATATAGTATTAATACAAAAAAAAAATAATCAAAATTATGTTTTGAAAAATGTATTAGTGTTTAAAAATTTTTCATTAAAAATAAGTGTTTTATGTTTTCAATGTTACACTTTTAGGTACTTGAATGTTAATAACTGTTAAATATCTCCATTAAGTGATACGTGTCACGTTTTGATAATTTTTAGAATTTATTTAAAAATTGAAAAAAAAAATTGAAAAAAAAGAAGAAAAAAAACAGTCCCTCTACAGCGTGCTCTCTTCCCTCTCCCCTTTTTCCTTTCCCCTTTCATAGTAGTAGGTCGGCCAGCGGTGATCGTCATTGCCATCGTCATCAACACTGGCGTCAATCCCCGATTAAACCTCGTTGACATTTCTTCATGAACTGACACCGTTTGCTGTGGAGAAGAGTTCAAAGGTCCATCAAATTTTAAGCCACGTTCGTCGTTCTTCTTCGATTTCAACCGATTCCGACATCCATAAGACACACCGCCACCACCATTCGAACCACAGTGCAATTCTGATCAAAACCCAATCGTTCAGTAATGACGATGATGGTCAGAGATGGCCGGAAACAGTCGGATTAAGATTTGAGTTAGGAAATTAAAATTGAGAAATAGGGATTTAGATATTTGAGATTTTACATTTAGGGAATTTGGGTGACGGTAAGGACGACGATTAACGGCAATTGCCAACAATGACGGGTGACAGACCATTCAATGATAACGATGGTTGTCGACAATCATTCGGAGAGAGAGGGAGGGAGGGAAGGAGAGGGGCGGGTCTAGGGGAGTTTTATTTTTTTTCCTTATTAATTAAAAATAATATTTTTATTATTAAAATTTTTGGAGATGATCACTTATTTTTGTATTAAGCCTTAAATATATTCCATATGTCTCTCTAAACGATTGAACGAATCAGTTTGATCCCAAAAAAACCATCTTAGTAAACATTTTTTAAAACATAAATTTATAAAATAAATTCTAATAAAAAATAGTGAATGACATGATCACAGTAGCAAAAGGATTCTTATTGTACTTATAATCAATATCCTAAAATTTTAGAAGCACTCTAAAGAAGAATAAATATAGTTTTTTAATTTGATTAATAATTACAACTTTTAAATTTTTGATTTGATTACCATCAAAACAATTAATAATTAATAAATTTTGTTACATGATCATATGATCAAATCCATTTTAAAATGACCACAAATAATAATCATTATTCTATAACTCACACTTATATTAGATTTAACACTTATACGTAGAAGCACGAATCAAACGATTTTAATGGTAAAAAAATTTGAATATTCATTATTAAATGATTCAAAATCTTTCGAACAAATACTATCACTAAAATTCAGAATAATTGTCTAGGGAAAACTATTGCATGCTTCATTATCAAAGGGAAAGACTCATTTCCATTGATGAAGTTGAAAGTATGACATCTTAGTTTATAAAGGATCCTTGTTTATTACTTATTGCAATGTTTTTTTTCCTACTTTTAAGGCTAAAAATGCTTTAAAAAACTCCTCTTCGTTGTTGAGAGTTCGCTAGACATCTTAGTTTCCAGATGTCTCACCTGAAAGTACTGGCCGGCCATCGACCGACTAACCATTCAAAAGCTTCTCATCGCCGGATTCCGGTTCCGGTTCTTGTTGGAGATAGGAAAGGAGAATTTCCCATTGCATGAAAATGGTCTCTTCATGAAAATTGGCCTAATTTGGAAAGATCGATCTATTGGCATTAGTCTCAACAAGCTCTGATGATTCCCGACAACTCTCCTCGGTACAACTCTCGAGGTCGAGTCTTTCGGTTTCGCTGATTCGTTATCGGAATTGCTTCCACCGGCAATGGCCTGACTGATCTGAGAAGCCGCCATGGAATCCAATGAAACGGATCGTATAGTTTCAAGTTCAACAACCCCTGAATTTCCCTTGTTTACAATAGTTGGTGTAATTACCATTTTTTTAAAAACAAATAAATAATATTTTAAAAAAACAATTAGGACTTTATTTTGGAAAATTGATGATTTTGAATTAATTTGTATTAAATAGGATGAGAGTCGCCATCGACCTTTGGGTTAGGTAGGTCGAATACCTAAAGACGTCTTTTAAAACAATTTCAAGGAAAAATTCTTTTTAAGACAAAAAATCGGTTTGCGTTTACCAGAAATTTGATTTAACTGGTTCGAGAGTCGATTACGCGTGGGGAATGATTAGCACCCCCACAGCGCCCAAAAATGGTACTCAGTCGCTTATATATTGTCACAAAATGGTGGAAATTATAAATTGAATATAAAGTTAGAATATGATTCATTTATTAAAGTTAAATAATTTGCTTCAAATTGATTAATCAGAGAAAATTCTTTATTCTTGAAAAGAAATCTCGAGATTAGCACTCATCCATCAGGAAAGCTATCTCGTCTATTTCTTATCTGTAAAGAATATTCCCTCATCGATAAAAATGTGTATCGAATATACAAACTGAAAACAAATATTTGCGTAGAATAACATAAATTGCCATTTAGGAACATGTGTTGCATCATTTGAATTAAAACACGTTAATTAGTAAAATAAACACGATTTATTTCAAGTTTCCATGTCATTAAAATGCCATATCAAATCGTACCACTTCGACCAAGTGATGCTTTCCATGCTCATTCTACGCATACGTGTTCTTGAAAAAAAATCGAATATCTCATCAATAGATAAAAAATTACAATAGAAATATATGCAGTTGGAAATATACGA